CAGGGTCTTGAGACCAAGCCCCATATAGGGCTCGGTGCTCAGTGGGGAGTCTGCTTGAGATTCTCTCCCTCTGCCCTTGCCCCCCCCCACTTGTGTGCATGGTCTCTAAAATAAATAAATATTTTTTAAAAATTCAAAACTCTATAAAAAATTCTATATGAAAAAAACTCTATTTAAAAAAAAAAACAACCTATAAAGATTGATACCTGTGGGGCCAATAGCAGCCTCTGAATGTCTGGGGAACTGACCTATTGGCCCAAACCCGATCCCCTGCCATAACAGTGTTCAGTTGTTCTATTCTAGCTTCTGAGTCATCACCTGCTGCCACTGTTAAGCATCTACAAACCATCTGAATTTCACGCAGATATCCTCTCTCAAGGGAAATGAGAAATCTTCCCCTTCCCACCCTAAAGGTGGAAATGCCCCAAGACAATTAAGTTCATTTCACAAATAGCTGTGTTGCTAATAATCAACCTGTCTCACCTTAATTTGCAGCTCCAATTTCCCTGTTTTCAAGTGATTTCTTTAAAGAAAGTATAGATTACCTTCCTGGCCTAGGGTGCTGGGAAAGTAAGCGTTTAGCTGTTGCAGGAAGAACCACAGAATCGGCTTTCAAAGTGGTCCTGATGTCTGCTTACTTTTGATACAACTGGCAGATAAAGAATTCTGACTCACTTTTCCTTCTTAGCCAAAATTATTAAGACCATTTCTATGGTAAAATTTACTTCAGATGAAAGTACTCTCCAGTGACTCTGTTACCCAATTTTTCTAGCGCATTGGGAAATGACCCTCAATTTCCTGAGTAATAGCAAATGAGCCTCTTCTGCACAAATGACAAATATTCTTCCATTTTCTAAACATTTGAGTCTCGTTATAATTTATGTGCTCACAAGGAGATTTCTTGTCCTCCAATCACCCTACATGGTTCCTGCCTTGGTTTATCTTCACCTCCTGCAACCCATGGCTGGATTTCTTAGTTATGGTGCTTCTTCCTCCCTCAACCCTCATGCAGGCATTTAGTTGACCAATAACAGAATCACAAGGTTGGTTATAATTCCGTTTCTCCATCTGACTTTGAACTTAAGTGTTCCAATTACTTTGCTTGATCCTAATAAGTCAGTAGCGCGCTAATGCTTGCCTTGATACTTCTGAAATATACAGGGTGTGATTAGCACGGGACTGCATCATTAGAAAGCAAAATGAAAGCAGGTGAGCAACATCATGGCTCGCATTTAAGCAAAGCTGCCTGATCAGTGAACTTACAATGTTTCAATGATCCTAGGGATACTATATGCTGTGACCAAACATATATTGTATTTAGAAAATCTTCTGACACTCCGGAACCTTCTTTCTTTTGCTACAACTAGAAAAGATCCTAGAAGGATAGGCCTGTTTCAAAACACAAAGTTCCAAAGTCTGTTTAAGCAGACACAGCTGAAGACATAAAGAATCCCTGAACCATAATAAGGTAGGGGGAAAAAAAAAAAAAACAAAAAACTAAGGAAGGAAAGAAGGAAGGGAGGAAGGAAGGGAGGAAGGGAGGAAGGGAGGAAGGGAGGAAGGGAGGAAGGGGAAATCTTTAGTTAATTCTGCTGGATTGCCCTGACGACCCCGGGCCATAAAGCAAGAAAGCTTTACGGTAAGCCTGCTGGAAAAAAAAAAAAAAAACCAAAAAAACCCCACGCGCACACACACATTATCAAATGAGATGCTAAAAAACTACATTAACATCAATGGTGTTATTTCAATCTATTAAAAAAATTTAACCCCTTATATATGTGTGTAACCAGGAATAGTGTAAACTTTTGGAAACTAGCAGGAAAAAAAAAGGAAACGCTTTAAACTTGGAATGTTTTGCAGCCAAATCAATCGATAAATAAAAGGAAAAAAAGATGGCACAACTGAAATTGATGCCAAAGATTTATAAGGTTGACTAAGTAAACAAAAATGGAATGGATCACCATGGAAATGCATGAATATTGAAATAGGCAAGATTTGAATAGACTAATGATATGCCTCACTTAGACTGACAGGTGTTGATAACAACTGACACTCAAACCACACCAACATCCACACTTCTAACATGTTTATTCCTAGAAAACAGGAGCTGATTTAAAGGTTCCTTTGGTAAGAGCTTATAAGAAAAATACATTTTCTCATCTTAAAGGACTAACTCAATTCTCATCTACTTGAAAAACAAAAAAGGTTTTATCTATTTGCTTTCGGGATATGAGGAGCCGCAGTTAGCAGAAGTCATTCTCTTGGGCTCTACTAGTCTTTGTTCCAATAAACCCCTCACAAAACCGAATTTTCGGTCTGGCTTATCTCCCACACTGAGTACTTGAAGTATGACCACCACTCATTAGAAACATAATTAAAAAGACACAACACTAGATCCACCCCCCCAAGCACATACAGGTGAAAACCAATAACCCTTAATCTATTTGTTACCATAGCTACCATAGGATTTTTTTTAAAAAAATTATTATTATTTCAGTCCAACTCTGGGTATTTCGTTTGGACTGTTGCTTGCAAATGAAAGTTGGAGACCTATAAATTCGCGTTAACTGTGTAGAAATGGGGAGACTGAGCAGAAGAAAATGTTTTTCTTAATCATGGACAAATATGGTTTAAAAGATGCTTCTACAGAAAAGTTATTAAAATGGGTTAAATGCATCAGCCTGTAAGCCAATTTAAATGTCATTAAATTCATATAGAGTTTAAGGACACATATGCTAGTAATTCCCTGATTCATAGCAGGATGATAAATCAAGAGCACTCAGAACAATGCATGGGACAGAGACTACATTCATCAGTGGCACACAGCTCCATACCTGTATAAACACCTAGATGTGACTACTGGAATACATGCTCACCAAGCAGCCCTTAAAGTATTCACCTGTGCATTAAAGGACAACGATTTTACCAAGCGCCAGGATGAACACTGTGTAAAATTGTTCCTCACCCCCCCAACAGTGAAAAAGTTAGCTTTGCACTTCCCCAATATAGTTTTTTAAAACATCAGTAATGAAGCGGGCTAATTAAATCTGCCATTCACTCCACACCGAAATAATTCCTTAAATATGCTCTCCCAGAGCTGAGCTGGACATAAGACCATAGGGCAAGGGGAGGAACTCTGTAGAGACCAGACAGATGACTTAAAGGAGACTGAAATTAGGGTAAATACAGCGGTAACCAGGACAGATCTGTCGCTGCAAGAGGAGTCTGAATCCCAGCGTAGCCCTGCGTAGCTCCGCTGATGAGAGGCTGGAGCCTGCATCAGTGGAGCTTGACAGTCCTTGAGCTGACGAAGTGGGAAGTTTCGCGGGCAGCAGCAGCACGGCGTCCTCAATGGTCCGTCCCTCCAGCGCCGAGGTCTCGCCTAATGCTACATAAATACCTGCGTCCACGATTCGCCCGGGGCGCGCCGCGGCGCAAGCCCCGAAGGGCAGCAGGAGAGCGTTTGGAGAGCGGCAGGGATGGCAAAGGCGGCGGCTCCTTACCCATCAGCATCTCCAGGGACCCGCGGGAGGACCCGCCAACTGACCCTGTCTGCCGCTGGGTTCCAGAGCCCAGGAACAACAACTGGCTTCTCAACTGACGGACCCAGGCGTCCGAGACTCGCGCTTTACCCCCACCCCTCCTCCGCGACCGCGGGCGGTAGGCAGGCAGCGCGTCTCCGCCTTCCCCGGCCAACGCAGACCGGACCTGCCCGGGTAGCTGCCTCGGACCTGCCCCGGCTCTAGTCTGCGCTCTCCCGACTCCCGGCGAGCGCGCCCCTCCCTCGGGACCCCGGGCCGGCGCTGCCCAGCTCCCGCACCCGGGCCGCGACCGCAGAGAAACCTCGCGCTCTCGGCCCGCTCCAGGCCACTGAGACCGGGACGTGAGCCCTCCGCCACCCTGCACCCCCGCCGGGGTCGGGGCGCGCGTCCACACTCCCACATTGCACAGCTCGGGGGCCACCCTATCCCACACATAAACAACCCCTCCTCACCCAACATCACATCCTCGTCCCTTCACCATTCCCAAGGGCTCTCTCCTTTCTGGCCCCCAAACACGGTGGCATCCAAAAGGTGTTAAGGGAAGGGGGGGCACAACCAGGTCTGTACGGGTTCCCTCCTCATAGCTTACAAGCTCCTCTACCTCGAAAGTTACTTGGGATTGAGTGAAGAGACCCAGTCCCCGAATGGGGGGTCTGAGGACTGGAAGGGGCAAAACCCCAACCCGGCTTCCCGCTGCACAGAGGCGCGCGCCTTCCCAAAGGGCAGGGCGCGCGGCCGCCCCCGGGGTCCAGCCTTTCGGTGCCTCCTCCTGGCCCCCAGCCCGGCGCGGGCCCTGGGCCGCTCCGGGGAGGTGGCCTGGAGAGGAACGCGCACTGCCGGGCCCAGCCAGAGGGTGCCGGGGCCGGGGTCACACTCGCCTCCAGCACCCCCCGACCATCGCGACATTGGCTCCGGGCAGCCCCCGTGCATACACACCCGGGGGCAGGAAGTTTTTTCCCCCTTCTTTCCCTCATGGAGCAGCGCAGGCGCAAGGGCTCCTGCAGCCTAGCGAGTCCAGACGCGGGAGGTTCCTGCCGCCGCCGCCGCCGCCGCGGGAGCAGAGCCCAGCGTTCCGGGTTCTCGGGCCCCGCTCCCAAGCCCCGCCCGGCCCCGCGCAGCTGCCAGGACCCGGGGTCCCCGGCTCCCCCATCCTTGGCGCCCAAGCCTGGCTCTTACCTCTGGCCGCGCCGCTCCGGCCCCGGCCCGACGCCCGGAGAGCCGGGGGTCTCGGGTGGGCGCAGGAGGGCTGATGGATAGGGGACGTCGCCGGCGGGTAGCGGTAGCTGGGGCCGCTCGGGTCCTGGCCCGGAGAAACGGATCCAGGTCCACCTCCTCGCGTTCCTGCTCTCCGCCTTCTCCCCCCTTTTCTCCTCCTCCTCCGCCGCCGCCGCCTCCCGGCAGCCCAGGGAGGATGCCCGGGAGAGGGAAGTCAGTCCTTCTGCCTGTCAGCCTGTGCGGCTACGCGAGGCGCGGCGCGGCGCGGCTCTCACCGAGGCGGCGGCGGCGGCTCCGGCAGCATCGCCCCCGCCCTCTCCCCGCAGCCGCGGCAGCCGCGGGGCTGGGGCTGCTCCGGGCGGGGGCTGCGCTCAGGCACGGTGGCCGCCGGGGCTGCGGGCGGGCGCTGCGGAGCCGGGGCTGGAGCTGCAGCTGGATCCGCGGCGGCGGGGACGGCGGCGGCGGCGCGGGGGCTGGCGCGGCCGCGGCGCGGGGACCATGCTCCCTTCTGGCTCGCTCCGCTCCGGGTACCGTCTTCTTTAGCTGCGAGGGAGGCGGGCTTCGGCGCGCAGCCAGGGGCGGGCGGAGCCAATCACGGGCGCCCGAGTGGGCGGGGGTGGAGGGTGGGGGAGGCGGGGCGCCCCCCGCAGGGCACCCAGCGCTGCTCCCCCCGCCGGAGGGATCCCGGGCAGCCGCGCGCTGGGCCCAGGCCGGAGTGCCGGCGGGTGTGTCGGTGCGTCTGTCCGTCCGCCGCCCCCGCGCCCCCGCCCCCCCCCGCGGCGGCTCCCGGCTCGCCCGGCTCGGCGGCCGCGCCCGGCAGATGCGCGGCGCGTGGCCCCGGCTGCTGGGCCCCGGCCTCCCGGCCCCGCCAGCCCCGGGTTGGGGGACGCAGCCGAGGCGAGCTCCCCGGCTGCTCTCAACACCTGAGGAAACTGGCGTAAAAGTTTGAGAACGAAAAGTCCAATCGTCTTTCAGCTTTCGCCCTCCCTAGGACACTCCAGCCACGGAAAGGAGCAGGTTGTTCAAATCTCTGAAGAACCGCGACTAGCCCGCCCATTCTGTCCACCGACCCTCTCATCTGTCCAGACTCGACTCTCCCTGTTGCACGCGGACGTTCCTGTTTACACTGACCCCCTCGAATCCATGCGACCTCCCTGTTTAGTCAGCCCCTACTCAGGCCATACCAGCCTTGTATGTCTACACTGACACCCCCCCCCCCAAACACACATACATCACCACCATGGTCTACACTGACTTTCTTAGCCCCTTCACCTCTCTGTCTACGCTTGCCGTCCACACAGACCCTAACGTCAACCCTAATAGGAAAGATTTGGCTGGAGGCCGGTGGCAGCCCCTAGTGCGGGATTTTCCATTGCGCCAGAACATTCCATTTCAGCACCAGTCTTCCCTGGTAACGCTCCAGCTCTGGTTTTTATTCCCTGACCTCTCCTTCCTCCCCTACCTCCCCCTTGTCTGGTTTTGAATTTCAGAGAAAATATAGCCCCTACCCCCAGCCTGAATGTAAGCGTTTGTGGGTTTCAACCTCCTGCCCTCACCCTCCGCTCCCCCTGACGGAGCTGCAGAGGCCTGAGGCCTGGGTAGCAACCGGGGAGGGGGTATGGTAAAGTAGGGAGCTGCTGGCCCTTTGGCTGGAACTGGGAGGAGCCGGCCTGGGGCGGGCTCTGCCGGGCCCCGCCCTCCTCCTCTGGGGCGGCCAAGGCAGCGGGAGAACTCGGTTCGCAAATCCCCTGCTCTCGGCTCACTCCTGTGATGTCTGAATCCAGGCCTCTGCTCTCCTTGGCTGTAAACTCAGTGCAGGGATTGTGTCTTCTTTAATATCTTGTAGGAAGCAGAGTACAGTGTGGCGGCTGATAAATAATAAATAATAATAATCTACTGAGGGTAGCAGGAGGACTGTCAGTGACAGGGAATGAGGACACCAGGGAAATGGCACATTGGTGTAAGAGTAACTGCATTTCCTGGAAAAAGAAAAAAAAATAGAATAAAGTTTTTGTGTGTGAAGCCTGGGGACAGGGGAGGGGACAGGGCAAAGCACTTTGGAGAGGAATCCACCCTCGATGAGGGGGTGATGAGGGGGTCAGCTAGGAAAAGTGGTGTGTCTTTTCCAGAGAGTGACAGAGCCCTGTAGTGGGGGAGTAGGGGAAGGTGAGCTCCCCAAGGGTCCTAAGCAACACCTGAAAGGGAAGATGTGGTTTGAATGCTAAGCTGTTAAATTGGTGTATGAACAGTGATTGAAGAGTACTGTGGATAGAAAATGGAGAAAAGGGGATTACTAGGGATTTTTAGAAGGTAGGTAACAGGTAACAACAGCTAACACGTCAAGCAACTCAAGGCCAAGAGAAGGAGAATAAAGGCACAAGGTGAGTCTGTGTTCATTCGTGTTGCAGGAAGCGATCCTCTGAAATGATCCATATGGCCGCTGCCGCCCACCCCCCAGCCCCCCCCCCCCACTTGTGAACCTGTAGGAACCCACTGGGCTACATTCTGCGGCAGCGCCATACCCGACAGCATCATGGACGTATAGCTAAGGTTTGCATGGTCTGGGATCTGTTAAGTTCTGGCAATTGACGCACTCGTATTCTCTTACAGACCATTTTGAACGATCGTCAAATGAAAGAAGGAGAAACACACTCCATGAATCCTTCCTCCATTACATCTCTAGGTGAAGGTATGAGGAGTCTTCTGGTTTCCCTGCCTGCCTTAGCAGAGGGGAGAAGCCTTGCTGTATTCCCACCTGCACAGAAGACTTCCTTTGGCCTCTGTGATGCCAAGGGTGCCAGTCCCAGAGTGTTGCGGTACCTCCAGGGTTCAAACTAGAGCGCAGCTCACTGCGGGAGGGGGTGGCCTAGCTTGTCAATAGAATGGAAAAAGCTGTGCAAATTAGAATCACAGGGGGCTTGTCTACCCTCCCTCCAACCCACCCTTCTTTCATCCCCAGAGCCTGAATGCAGATAAGGATTTCCACAGTCTGGTAGTCTGCCCCAGTTGCCCCAGGGTCTTGGCCACATAGACTGCATCTGCTTTGTGTTGTGTAAGGGAACTCCTCCCTTTCTCCACAGATCTCGCTGGTGTCTTCGATCTGTTCTGAGTTATGCCCTGCCCTGCTTTGTGTCATATGGAATATGTTCCATGGTTGGCAAGAATCTCTCACATGGTAAGTGGGATATGTTGGGTGTTGCACATGGGAACTTGTGTCCTGGTCCCAAGTTTCTCCATGAAACACAGGATCTGCGCTGTGGACTGTGCTTCAAATGGCAGCCCTCTCTGTCCTGACTGAGCTGCCCCAAGCTAAGGTCTGGGGTCAGGATGAATGTGAAGGAGTGGACTTGCCATGCACAGGGAGATAAACTGGAATGTTCTAGAGCATTCATTCCCTTATTATGTGTGCAATCAGACCAGGGTTTTGTGTTCAAAAGGCTACTACTGTGCCTTAAAGAGGCACTAGAGGACGCCACACCAGGATTGCCTGGAGTGCCCACTGTGGCCAAATGGACCTCTCTCCTTATTTACATTTATAATCAGCCACAGCAACACGATCATTTACTCAATGACCTCTACATCACAAGCCCTGGACCAAGTATTTTACCCATGAGATCTTCTTAGTCATCACAGCAACCTGCGGAATTAGTGTGACCAGTCCTAAAAGCCAGGTCACAGGAGAGGGTAGGTGATCTCCTGAAATCACATATCCAGGAAATGGCCAAGCTGGAATTGGAGCCTGATTGGCTGGTTCCAAAGCCTCTGTTCTTTTCACCACACTCAACCCACGAATGCAATCTCTTTTGTCATTAGCCTGGTGATTTTCCCTTTAAATAGACACAGTGGATGCTGATTTTGCCTTTATCAGCAGCTGGTCCTGGACCCAGAACTGGAAATCAGTCTAGGAATACAGGGAACTGATGTCAAAGGGGGCAGAACATCCCTTTGATTACTGACTGTGCAGGTCACTTACAAGAGTGGACGCCTCATCAGAACCCTCAGGTCTGAGAGGACATCTGTTGCTAGGAGTGTAGTGGGTGTAAACAGAGCAGGAGCCAGCCTCTCTGCTGGTTGAGGTTTGTATTTGCTGTTTTGTTTTTCTAACATGACTCTCCACTAAAACCACCCCCATTTAACATCAAAAGCATTAAAAAATCCTAGGCAAGTCATTGTCCCAGTGGTTAATCAATCCATAAAAATATATTTAGCACCTACTGTGTGTCCAGCATTTCAACCCCATGGTGTTGATTAAAGCAGGAAGCAAGAAGTCACAGCTGCTGAATTTTCACTGTAGCCACCCTGCTCTTTGATGCATCACAAAGACACATGCTCATCATTCAATCAGCCAATTGCTGAGGCCCTCCTGCAGCCTGGTGCGGCTCTGTGCTGGGTGTTCCAGAATACAGGGAAGGTATAAGATAGTTTGTTTCACGAAGGGGGTCAAGGCAGCCAAACAACAATATTTGGTTCTGGTTCTTGCTAGAGGTTAAATGTAGCAGAGGTTGTTACCAAGAAACGTAACTTAGTACTCATTCGTGGGGGGGAAAGGCTCCTAAGTGTTGTAGGGTCCAGGGGATGATCTGGAAGAACTGGTCTGGTCATGGTGGCTTCCTGGAGGAGGCCAATCTCAGGTTGGACCTGAGGACTGAGGAGGTTTTCATGGGAGGCTAAGGAGCCCAGACCAGCCAGAGCAGAAGGCAGGGGTCAGGAGGGCAGAGGAGGTAGTGTTCCCAGAATAGGGGACTCACGGTATGATGGTTTCCGAGACATGACTCGTCAGCAATCTTTTCCTTTGGGTGGCAATGAAAGTGTGTTTTCCCCCTCTGCTCAAATCAATGGACGATTAGAGTCTAAGAATCAGAATAAAACCAGTGGTATCTTTCTCTCCCTTTATTCATTCTCAATGGCAGGAATTCAGCACTTTTTTTTTTAGTACCACTTTTTTTGCAGGTGGCAGAAGTGCTAATTAGAGCCACTAACAATTTTCCTGGGTTGTTCTAACTCCCAAACTGACAAGAAACACTGCTTGGGTGTTTTAGAGAGAGCAGATTCCACTCTTCCCATTGATAAAGTGATTCTTCAAACCCGTTGGTCAGAGAAACGGATTGAATAGTTTCTCCATCCATATGTGTTGGGTGGCAAATTGTTAACTTTACTTTTTCCATATTTAAGAATGGGCAAGTATTTCCCCATGCGAGAGTACAAAACAGAAAACCTCGGCAATTGGTAGGATAGGTTGTAAGGAGCATTTATTTTGTTTGTTAGAGGCTTCCTTCACTCACGGAAGTAAGTTCACTAAAAGGAAAATTCAGGAGAGTTTTGAGTGAAGGTAGAATCCTGATAGTTCTTTGCGTACACATATTTTTGAGCTGTTTTTGAGAATAAAGAGGTAAAGGGCCTGCCTGCTCCCTGTTTGACTCCAGAATCCGCTGGTGTCACTGCCTTTTATCTCCCTCTGAGTTTTCAGTAAAACTTAAGACCGGGACTGTGTCATTAGTGTGGTCACTTTGAAGCTCCGAATTGGGCCAGAGGCAGGACAGTGACCATCCAGGGCAGGTGACTGCCCTGCTTTGACTCTCTCCAGGATGGAGATCCTCCTGCTCTCTGCCCTCTGCTGGGACTCAGGCTGCCTGAGAGGGTGTCATAGTCCACACAGGCTGTTTGGGGGAGCTCAGCCAGAGGCAGAGGGACCACAGTGCCAAGCCTTTGGCAGCAAAACCCATTTTCATCAGCTAATTAATGAACACGGTCAGGTCCAGGACGCTGTCTGAGGAGTTGCTGTTTATCTCCATATCCCCAAAGCTGAAGCTGCCTGTCATATTCACAAGCAAAAGGCAGCCCCTTCTCCAGGGAACGAACGCACCCTTCTCCCCAAAGAGCGCGGTGTTGGGAACAAAGCTCTATGTGCTCTTGGAGTCTGAGATATTTGAAGGGTCTAATGGTTTCAGCTCCTTTGGAATATGTGACTGCGTGTTTCATCTTTGTGCTTATCTCTGCTAGAATTTGTGAGGCTGCATACGCTTCCTGGGAAGTGGGTCTGGGAGGAGGAATTTGTGAGTTCATGCCCAGTGGAAACATGATTGTCAACACATTGGCCCCAGAGTCTCTGTCCTCAGGAAACCAGAGGCAATAGGGCCTGAACTCAGGTTACCTACTGAATATTTACTAAGGGCCTTAAATATAGCCCAAAGTCTGTGATAAAAATCACCATCTGGTCCAGGTGCATCTTGCTGTAAGAAAATCTGATATTTGAAAATTCAAAATGATATAACAGAAGGACTTGCCAGTTTGCATTACAAAAAGGATGCACGGGCTTCCCTAAGTGAAGCTTTCCCCTTTGATATTTAATATGCGGCTGATTTATTAAAAATTCTGTTCAGATTGAACTGGTCAGAAACACATTCATTTATTTTTATTTATTTAAGACATGTCACCTGCTTACAAGAGGTCTTGCGCAACTTACAGGTTAAAACATGGGGCAAAAGGAGACATTTAGGAAAGAAATAGAACAGACAGAACCCAAAGGGAGGAGGTAAGGTTAGAAGCATCAAGCATACAAGATGAATGGGTTCTACAATTAGGCTCTCTAAGGGAAAAAAGGGCACATGAGCTAGGTTACCTGATTGTATAAAGGAAGACACATTTGTATCAGGTAATAAAAGATGTTTTGAATAGAAACTACTTAAAAATCAGAGACTGTTATAAATTGAAGAATGTAGTATTGTTGAGATGAAAGGTTTCTCCTCTAGACTTTTGGAGACAAACGTGGAAAAGTATAACACTACAGGCCTGTTATGTTAACATTTTTCACTACTTCTAAACCTTTGAATAATATTTACCCGACGATTTCATTAAAAAAAACATTTCAATCCTTTATAGATTTACTTATTGCCAATTCAGGAAAAGGGCTGCCAATCAGACATGTTTCCTTTAGGTGGCTGTGAGTTTTCCTAGAAGGCAACAAGTTTCTTCCAGCTAATGTCTAAACCTTTGATAATGTCAATGTAGCTTTAGGTCAATTTCAAAATTATCCAGAGAGTTCTGGCTAATGTAGAATTTCACTAAAAACAGCTAGAACTTAAACATTAGGAGAGGTGAGTTAGGGAAACATAGGAGGGCTTGGAGAGAGTCAGAACAGTACCTGGGACCTGACATATTTATATACTAGTCTGCAGACGAATCCTATTAAACTGAACTTAGGATTTTAAAAGGGTTGCAGATATGATCTCACCCTGATAATCAAGGCTCTTTTTCCTGGGAATCAAGAGCGACATGTGGTTGTAGATGTGTACACGTTGTTCAAAAGCAACAGAGATGTTGGTTGAGGTGACAGTCTATAAAATAATGACATATCAGCAATATCTGGTATTGGTTTAGCACTCACTGTGTGCCAGATGCTGTTCTAAGCCTTTAACTCTCCTTTTAAAGTTATCTCATATTCCTAACAAAAAAGGATGTGAAAATTGGTGAATCCTGAGTCTAAAAAAAATTTTTTTTAAGATTTTTATTTATTTATTCGACAGACAGAAATCACA